GTCTGAGAAAAAACCTTCTCTGTTGAAACTCAAAATGTGTATTACAAAGTCTTCAAATCTTGGAAATCTTTTTCAAGAAACATTCGAATTATTTTCGAGAATTGAAATGAATGAATATTTCTCAAAAAAGTCTCAAGATTTGTAATAAAAAATGCTTTCAACTTCTGAAAAAATCTTCATAACTTATTGAAATCTTTTTCTTCAGAAATTCTTTTTAAAAATATTTCCTTCAACGAATTCGAAATCGATCTTTTTGGTTCAATGAGAAACATAAGAACAAATTTCTTTGTTTCATAAAAAGCGAGAGAAAGATATTCTAAAAAATCTTTTTAAAGAGATAAAAAGCAAAAATACAAAGAAAAATGAGATTTGAAAAAATAAAGAAGAGAATTTTGAACCATAAACCATTGACTTTTTCAAGTGTTCGATGACAAATTGATTCATCTAATTTCATTAGATCGAAGATTGGTAATGGACATGAATCCAAATTACTTTCAATGAGATTTTCAAAGAAAATTTCCAACTAAATTTGAAGAAAAGAAAGATTTTCTTGTCGAAAATGTGAAATTCAGATGAAATTACTTGATGAAATGTTTTTGTTAAGAAATTCTTTGATAAATGAGAATTTTCCTGAAGAATTTGTTGAAAAAGAAGTTGAACTTGTCGAAATGTTTTTTCAATGGAATAAAATCGATTTTGAAGATTTTCCGAAGGAATTAAATGAATAAAATTCCGAATTAATTCAATATTTGATGAAATACTTTGAATTTCCTTTGATTTTTGAAATTGTTTATAAATTTTCTCATTAAATTTCTTTAACATTGGAGAAAATTCATCTTTGAATTCGATTGAAAATTTCTCCAAATATCTTTGACTAAAATGTTTTTCATTTCGACAATCGTCAATTAAATTCGTCAATGTTGAATTGACATTAAATTCATCAATGGATTTCAAGAAATTTTCTAAAAAATAAAATTAATCATTTGAAAAGAGTTTTTCGAATAAACTTTTTTCACCTGTGATGTACGAAATCAAAACATGTTGTTTTTCGTGAATTAAATGACAAGAACTTTGGAAAAACATGTCCAAAGCAAAGAAAATCGAACTGATTAATAAAAGAATAATTGAGGAAATGAAAAGAATTGTAAAAGAAATTCGAATTGAACAAATCAAACAATAAGATGAGGAAATTTTCGATGATTTTCCACGAACGAAATTATTTAATGTTAACGAATAAGATCGATTTGCATTTCTTTTACGAATTTGTCTTTTGGATCGATGATTTCTATGAAATCGAAGATTTTGTTTCGTATTTTCATTGAAAATCTTCTTTTACCTGTGCTGATGTGTTGAATATCTTTGTCGTTCATATGAAATTGTTTGTAATTGATGAAGATCTGATTTGGAATTCGATTGAAAACAAAGTGAATTCAGTGTAAAAATCCAAATGAAAAACGATGGAAGAAATAAAATTAAAGAAATTAAAATTAATGATAAAGTTGAAATGAATGAAAAAATAAAATGAACTTGTTGACGAAGATTTTCATGAAAGAAAGTCCAATTGATTTTCTTTAAGATTTGTTCATTGAAAATTTCCACAAAAAACTTCATTTCATTTTCAATTGACGAAATGATTTCAAGAAAATATTTTTTCATCTCATTCTCATTGTTTTTGTCCATCATAGAACAAAATTTGCCATTTAAATTAAAGAAATCATCAAATGATTTTGTAAATTCTTTGAAAAAGGTTTTGAAATTTTCAATTTTTGATAAAGAAGAATTTAAAGAATTGAAATTCTCAGAGATATTTGGAATTAATTCATTAAATTCTCTCAAATGATAAATTTCTCCAAAGGATTTCATTATCGACAATTTCGAATTGTGAAAGATCGTGGATAAAGCTAAACGACAAAGAAAATTCGGTATGAAAACATGAAATCAATCGAGCGACTTACATTTTGAGGAAAATTCGTGAAAAATTTTCTTCGAAAAAGTTTTTTGTTGAAAGAAAATATAAATTTGATTGATCGATTCATTGAAATAAGTCTTCAGTTGTAAAATATTTTCCATAAGAAAGATCATTTGTAATAAAATAATGAAAAATACCGAATAAAAGCAAATTAATTTGAAAAAACATCGACATTTCTTTAAATGAAGATATGTTAACATATAAAAGAAGATGGACATGAAGATTAACAAGAGATTGGTGATAATTATGTAAAGAATTAATGAAGAAACAGATTTTGATGATTGAATTTGAGAAGTTTTCAAAAGATTTAAAAAATCATTTGAAGAAAATGAATTTGTAATGATTAAAGAAGAAAATTTGGAGAAAAGATTTTTCTCATTTGATTCCAACAATTTCCATTTGAGAATTTCAATTGATTTTGTTCGATTTAATGAATATTCAATTGAAGAATTTAAACAATCCAAATTCATTAACATTACTTTACTGTTAAACATCGACTTTCCTTTAAGGACAAAGACAAAGAAATTGTATAACAATCGATTGTCGTCGTACGAAAGAAACGAAAGAAAGAATATGTAAAGTTCATGATGACTAATCTTTTGTAAATAATGAAAATCGAAAAGAAACTTTGTTTCATTTCTTCGAAAATCAAATGAAAATAATAAATCACATAAAGTTAATATTGAAATATCCGTTAACACACTATGAACAATTGATGTCAATAACGGAAATGAAGAACGTGTCCAATGATAAATAAACAAACAAAAAGAACAACATTTGTTCAAAATGGAAATCATGTAACGCCTTGAGGAATTTTCTTTTCAACCAAAATTCCATTTGAAAACAAAAACAAAAACAAGAGAGTTGTGCATTGATTTCACTCATTGATCTTCTCTTTGTTTTGTTGGAAATGTATATGGATGATTAAGTTCATCTTTTTGATGATGATCATCATCATAGTGTACAAACAAAAGGTGAATTAAACATCGATTTCTAAACGTGTGTGTGTCTAAAGCTCATTAGTTATCAATGGTTGAACGTTATAACCGTATTGATCAAAGAATTGTCTCGAAGATTAGCCACTTGAGAATATTGTTCGTCAACTGACAATCGTCTCTTTTTTTTTCTTATTGTTCATTTGAACATAAAAAATGAATCGATCTACCTTCTGTTTCCTCCACCGATGTCTTTTTTTCTCTTTCAATACGAAAATGCGAGTTATTCACAGTGGAATCTGTTCTCCTACAGTTTTAATTCTCTTGTTTTCACGTAACTCATATCGATGATTTCTCGTCTACTTTTGTCTAATTAGTCATATCTTTGACGTGAAAAACGTTCATCTAATTGAAAAGATTTCACACCAATTTTTATCGAAACATTATTTTAATCATCAATGACATTTCGAATTACAACATTTCTTTGCTAATCTGTTCTAATTCGTATCATTATCGAAACTGATTGTTGGCAAAGAATTTTCGAACATCAATTCGAATTCAAAATCTTCTCCAAAGAAAGATATTAAACAGTCGAGAATTGACTGATTTTCATCAATACGGAAGAAAATATCTTTACAATGTTTGTATGAATTTGAATTTGATATTGATGAAAGAAAAAGAAAGAAACGCGAAGAATTTGAGAATATAATTTGGTTAATGATAGAGATAATTACTCGTCGAAATGAATTTTATCTATGATGAGCACGAGAATGTCATTAAGTTGATTTGGCTTTCGTCTAAGACAAAGAAAAGTTAATGTGAAAAGTGACACATGAGAATGTCATCTCTATTTGAGATAAGAAAAAGAAAAGGACATTTTTTTCTTTTCATTGGTTCATTTCATTTTCTTTTCTCCAATAAAAACATTTTCCGAACGAAAAGAAAAAAAATCCGTCGGTCGATGTTTTTCCTCCTGTTCGTTTCATTTCATTTATCGAATTGTTTTTGAAAGCAATGGAATATGTGAATGATATGTGGTCACATCGACCAATCGATCGTGCAAGTACACCAATTCCAAGAGAAGATGTCAATACTCAACCTCGAACATCAACACCAAAGATTTCCAAAACAATTCATTTGGTTCAACGTTCAAGAAAAAAGAAAAAGAAGAAGAAATCAATTGATCAAATTAACTACCATCGACTTTTCTATGGAAATCTTCGTAAACATCGACATTCATCAATTCAAATCTGGTTTTTGTAAATAAAAAGATTTTTCTGTTTTTAAAATAAAAAGAAAAGAAAGTTGTCAAACAAATACTTGAAATGGCGTCAAACAGCAATCTCCTCCCTCTTCAATGTCGTTTTTCTTCTGATTTAATCATTTGACATAACGATGGTGATCGACTAGAATAATTATCCACTTGAAAATTCATCGAATCGAAAACGAAAATATTTGATTGTTTTCAAATTGAACAATGAAAACATATGTTGATATTCGATGAAAGAAGAAGAAGAACAAAAAAGTAAATTTCGTTTTTTGTACATTGAAGACGAAGTGTGAAAAAAGGAAATGAACAAATATTTGATTAAATTCGCGTGTCCAATTACTTATTTGAAATGTGTATCTAAAGACAATATAGTCGAACATCGATCAATCAATATTGTCATCGTGATTTTCTTTTCTTCTGATCATGTCACACTTGATCAATGTCGGCATCGATTACATTTATACACTAAATTAACGATCATATAACACACAAATCTCAATTGACAAAGAATTTCTGTCTATGTGTGAAGATTTGTTGTTGTTTGACGATTGTTTCAGTGAATATTTTGGCAAATTCGTCGACAAAATTCATTCGATCAACAGATGTTTGTTCATTTACAAATGAGAAATCACATATGACACTCATTTCTCACTTTTCTCAAATTATCTTAACAATTTCAAATCACGCGAACATCTTTTATTGATTTTTCATAAAACAATAACAAGAATATTTTTGTATATTAATCAATTGAATCCCATCGGTTGAGTTCGAATTGGTCTAAATACAAAAGAAGAATTTTCAAAAGAAAATTATTCAATAGAAAACAAATGAAATACCCTCCATCGATTCCTCCAGTTGATCCACAACAATCACATGGAATTCCACAGCAACATCCACCATCTGATCCAAATCCACAACAAATCTTTACGAGAAGAAAAAAAAATGAATTGACTGAAGAATTCAAAATACTCAAATCTTACGGGTAAACACATCACGAATCTTTGAGAATGAAATGATTTATCTTTCAAATAATTTGATTATATTTATAAGAAAGGTGATCGAGTACGTTTTTCTGCATCAATGATTTCTATTGTTCTAAACTAAGTTATATGACGAAATAACGAATTTCGTATTTTGTTTTGACATCGAAAGAAGTTCTTTCGAGACAAATTCATTGAAGAGTGTTCAACAATGACGCCAACATATCTGTGTGACATTAAGTGTTTTCTTCTTCTTTTTCGTTCGTCAGGAGACAAGCATTTCTTCATCTTTTAATCAAATTCGTACAGAAATCTTCAATTGTCGTTTGAAATGAAATTTTGAAAATGTTTTTCCAAATTCAAATGAACATTTCATTGGCTTGATTATATAATTGTTAACATTTTTCGTTATGAAATAGTTGTTTTTCTTAACAGACAAGTAAAGAAAACATCATTGTGCTAATGTATACATAGACGAAAGATTGTCACAATTTGAATTTCTGTCTGAAGAAAAGCAAAACAAATTCGATTGGCCAATTCGATAGATGTGGAAAGTATTTCTTAGATTTATTCTTTTTTTTCTCAAAGATCAAGATCAATGATGAACATTAAATTGAGTCAACTAATTTAGAATGATGATCAAGATATAAAGAGCAAATCTTTCTTCTATTATATTTTGTTTCGATGTCAAATGTGAATTGTTCTTCAGTATTTCATTTGATATATTGAGCATTTGAGAAAAGATTTGAATTAATTTCATGAAATGATTGTTTGATAATAGTTAATAAACCGAGGTTTATTTCACAAGGAGTAAGAAAAACAAAAACAAGAATAGTTTAATTATGTACAAAATGTTATTTATGAAACAAGACTATGTGGTAACGAACGATTAAAAGAAGATTTTCTTTGTTGTGATTGTTCTGTTGGCAATGGATTTGGATTTGCTGTTGTTGTTGTTGTTGTTGTGGTTGATGATGATGATGATGAAGAATGTGGTGATGTGGTTGGAGGAATCATATGTTGAGTTTCATGTGTTGATGAAGGAAATGGTGATGAAGGATTTGGAGAAACAGATAAAGGTAAAGAAGTTAAAGGCGAAGGACGTGATGGAATCGAAAATGGAGTTGCTGGTGATGAAATACTGAATGGAGTTTGTTGAGGAGAAAATAATGATGGATATGTTAGACGATCCAAAATTGATTCTTCTTTTGTTAAAAGATTTGTTGAAGATTGAGGAGAAGAATTTTCAATAGAAGATGGTAAAGATAAGTGCATAAGTAATGGATCACATGTACTTTCTAATCCTGTTATTCGATCTAATTAAAAAGAAAAAGAAAAAGAAATGACTGACATTAAGAAAAAAGAAGAAAAGAAATGAAAACCTTGTTGTTGATGTGGACTTGATTGAAAAGATGAAGATGTTGTTGTCGTTTGACGTATCGATGGATTTAATGTCGGATTTTTAGGAGATTGTATCGCACGTTTTGTTTCATGTTCATTGATAAATTGAATAAGATCTTCAATAACATTGATTTCTTCTTCACGTACACGAATTTCTGCTTGTTTACACAATCGACGTTCGTTTAATTTCTCTTTCATTGTCGATCGATATAAATCATTATCAAGTTGAGATAAAAATGACTAAAAAACACATTTTTCTAAAGAAATTTTTTGTTTTCAAAAGAAAAAAAGCATACGGTTATTTGGGTGTCAGCTGAAGTATTTCCTGTTGGTAATTTTGGTGGAACAATTACATTTGTTGTTGTTATTGGAGATTGAACTGAAATCAGCAAAGAATTTCAATAAAGACGATTAATTTTTGGATTTTACTTGAATTAATTGTCATTTGAGAAGAATTTGATTTATTCGACGAATGTCTTTGGATAAAATCAGTTGAACTAAACACAAAAAGAGATGAAGGAAAATGATGAGAAACGTTTAAGAAAAAGTACTTTTGTAAAGGATTTGAAATACAAAGATAACTTTCAGGTTTTCCCGTCCATGAATTGATTTGAACTTGACAATTTGTTTGAATAAAAATCCATTGTTGTCCTTTACTTAGAAATCGATATGGTTCACTTTTTCCACTTCCATTTTCTTTCCCTAAAATAAAAAATTTCATATAAAATCATTTGAAAATGCGTCAAACAAACAGATTTGTTGTGCACGAAAAATAATCGGCAAATCATCTGGATGAACAAAATCAAAAAATGTATGTCCGATCAATTCATATGAACTATAACCAAGATATTGTCGAGTACTTGAAAAAAAAGAGAAAAAGAAATGAGAAAAAAGAAAATGCGAAAACGAACTTTATATCGATATGAATAAATCTTCCTTGAAGATTTAATCGAATTGAAAATTCGTTTATTGAGTGATGATTTGTTATTGTTAATGAACGATCTAAAGTTTTCACTTGAACAATTGACATTAAGTATTTCTCATCGTTTTCTTCATCTTTTCTTTTAACTAAAAAAACGAGAAAACAAATTCCATTTGATTTTTCTTTTGGCAAAATCAAACTTTGTCGAAATGCTCCGATGATTGTACATTGTTCATATTCATCAATTGTTGCTCGTCTCCATGATAAATGACACTTTTCAAGAACTATTCACAATCAAATTAAATCTTTTCTTTTAGTTTGTTTTTCAAACCTTTATGATCTTTTAAAAGATAATCACGTAAATGATCATGATCACGTGGAAGAATTAATTCGAATAATGAACGATTTAATAATTCATTCTAAAAAGAAAAATTTCGGAAAAAGTTTTTCATCAAAGAAAAGAAAATGACTTGAGAATAGTCGAGTAGTGAACTAATATTCCTTGAAACATAAACAATTTGTCCATTATGAGGATCAGATTTAGCAACGAGAAAAAAACAATTCATTGACTAAAAGAAAAAATGTCGTTTCTTTTAGATTCGATTGAATATATTTGATTTTACTTCAATAGTCGTTTGAATCCATTCTTCGTTTGTTACTAAATTTGTCGGTGGTCTCCAGGAAATATCCAATATTTCTTCATTTTCTTCATTTGTCGATTCACAATTTGTTTTCGAAAGATTTATTTCATGAGTTAAATCTATTTGACAAATCCAAATTTTCTTTTTACATTTCTTTTCTTCAAACTTTACCATTTTGATGTTTTCTTAAATAAATGGCAGTTTCACGTAGAATCGATGCTTTGTCTAATTTATTTGTTTGATCATTTGATGAAACATCTTTTTCAATATTGAGAATATTTTCTAAATTTGCAATTAATTGACTAAATAAATCTCGGCGACGTTTTTCATTTTCATTTCGAAATTTTCTAAAAACAAACAACACGGATTTAGATAAGAATTCAACTTCAATATTTGTTCCTTTAACCTTTTTGATGATGATGGTTTTGTACTTTCACTAAAATGGAATCGTTTTTTTTTAAAAAGAAAAACTCGTTTTGATTTCTTTTTGGTTTTACTTTGAAAGTGTTCGTTTCGATTTGGGATTTGACGAACTCATTAATGAAGTTAAAACCACATGTTCTAAAAGCAAAAAAAGAGAAGATAAAAATATGGGTGATGGCGAAATTTCTTTTTGGTAAATACAAAGAACGTAAGAAAAAAAAAAGAAAGAACAAAAGAAAAACGGGGCCTGCTGAAATAACTAATCATATCTAAAGAGAAAGTTTGGACTTGACTGAAATGAAATATAATAAGAAAAAAGAAAGAAATGTTTATGTCGTCATGTTTGATTCTGTCTTCGACGACTAAATCATAGGTCAGAAGTACATTGCGTTTAAATCATTTTCTTTTCTTTTCTTCTAGAAATTCATTTTTCGTTACTTTTATCGTTTTTCGCCGTCGAGAATTTCTTCGAGAACATTCGATTTCTTCATATCATAGTTCGTCTATTCGAATCCAGATCAAGAAAATCAAATAATATGCAAATTTTTAATGTTTAATTAAATTGTTTCTTTCAATCCAAGGTAAAATAAAGATCTTTATCTAAAATTAATTTCAAAGATTTTATTAATATTCTTTTTCTCGAAATTATTTCTGCAATTGTCTTTTTTTAGAAATCTTTTTAATGTAAATGAATTTTAAAAAAATCTGTTCAAAGTATTTTCTTTGGGTGGAATAATGTCAATGTTGAAATATTTTTTTCCGTTTTAATCAAATGAAAAAAATAAAAGAGAATATAAAGAAGTTGAATGATTTATCTTTTAGATAAAAAAAACGAGTTGAGAAGAACCAAAAAATTATTAACATAAAAATGGTTCAATTTCTTTCATATCATCTCTAAGTTTTAACAAAGAAGAAAAAAAGTGTTTTCTTTTTTATCAAATTAATTTAAAGATGGTTTTATTTCATCATCCCATTTCATTTCAATAGTTGGCCATTTTGTTCGTAAAACTCCTGTAATTGGTAAATAACTTCCTTTAAAAAAGCAAAAATTTCTTTAAGATGCTTTTTGTTTCTCAAAAAAAATGAGTCAAACCTGGTTGAACAGGAGCAACAGCCGATGTTGGGATATCATTTCCGTATCCATAATCTGAAATAATCGCTTCAGCCGAAGCATAACGAACCTTTTTATCTTTATTTGATCTCGGAAGACCATTGTAATGATAAAGAACAAATGGTTTTCCATTTAATGGTCCAAATTGTTCATTGGTGGAAGTGAATTTCGTTTCATGAGAAAATAATTCTTGAAGAAATGACGATTCAGTGATAATTTGTAAATTATCTGGATCCATTCGTTGTTTTAATTGACTTATAGTTGGAATAGTTGATGTAAGTATCGATGATTGAATGATTTCATTGATAACTTGATCAAGAAGAGAATTTGCAATGAACCCATTCTTTTCTGTATCATATTTATGGAATACTATCAATGAGAAGGAAAAGCAAATCACTTTCAAATATTGAATCAATTAGAAAAGAATGATATGAAATTCAAATCTTTGTTATGTTTCACGAATGAGAAATATTTGCTAATCGAAAAGTCGTTCAAGAGAAATAATTCAACATACTTTTCAAAGCTTTTTTCATAGGTGTGTCATTTTCTTGTTCGACTAACGCTTGTTCTCTTGAAAAGATAACGGTTAAATGTGTTTCTGATCCCAAAATCCAAATAGGACTTTTGGGATTTTTCAAAAACCATCCAACTTCTAATAATCGATAAATTTCTAATGAAGATAAAAATCCAATTGAAGCTTGTTGATGTATTCCGGACAATTTCAGTCCTGAAACATCTTTATCTCCATCAAAACAATGTGGCGTAGCAAAACCTGTAATTAATAGATTAGTTAAACATTGACTTCCATGTCCATATGCAACATCAATCAATGGTAATGATGTTTCATCGTCAATTTCTTTTTTTAACAAATCAATTGTTTTGGTCATTAAACATGAATAAAGAAAAAGTAAAACACCGTAAGAATTTTTCCACATTTGAAGTCGTGAGAAAATTTGTTGTTTCAAATCAACATTGGATTGACAAAGAGAAAATTGAATTTTCTCATGGAATTCTTTGACTGTGTACGAAGGTTTGTCATTGGAAAAATTTGCCAAATAGATTTTTTTATTGGATGATGATAATAAATGAAGAATTGATACAAGTGCATTTAGGAAATGAAGATCGATTTCATCCGATGATGCTTGTCGCCAATTTTGATCACATCGTGAACAAAAAATTAATTCATTTAATAGATGTGCTTGAACTGTTGTTAAAACAGAACATGGTCCACCTTCATGTTGAATAAATGCCGATGGTTCATCAATAGAAAATTGAAACGATTGAGACCATCGTTCAAATATCGACATTTCAATGTCATTTCCCCAGACAATATTGATTAATTCAGATGGTAATTTAATCAATTCATTCGACGAACTGTTGATGTTCGCTACCATTCTAAACCCAGAACAAACCGAAGAAACTTTGTTACTTAAAATGATTCAAGATTTTTTCCCTCTTCTTTTTTCCCGTATCACAATCAGCTCGTGAAAGGCCGAAATTTTCACCAATCAACTTTCACTTATCAACCATTATTTAGTTACGAAATCTGTTGAAAATATTTTTATTTCGAGGTTTTTAACACTTCCAGTAGAATTCAAAAGAAATTTCACTTCTTTTGATAGATGTCACTACATTCAAACAACCAATATACGATGCGAATACATGTGAAAACGGTTTCAGTTGAAGAACTATCGGAAACGTATTGAAGATTTGATATATTTTATGTCGAACGACTAGGAATAATTTCGTGGGTACATTACGGATAAACAAAGTGTTAAGAGGAAACTTGGGAACATTGTAGTAGTCTCTGAATGACAACAGATTTTCCGGGTTTTGAATTCAGGTAATCCGCTATTATGTTCACGATTCCCACCTATTGAAGAATTATGAAATCTTATATGAAAAGGCAAATCTTTTTGTTTATACAAAAATTCAAAATAGTAACAGTAAATAAAAGAAGAAAAAGAAACTTCCTGAAGAAATATTTACGTAGTTCAAGTTTTCTTTTGTATATCATCATTATCAATTTTTACCCGTTGAATCAAAACAAGCATATAAATAATGTGAACACACTCTATCTATCAGTAAAGAGAAGCGCATCTTTCTCATTTTCTCTTGTTACCTCGAAACTATCCTCGGACTTACGGATGGTTTAGTGTGCAACTTAATTACGCATCTCATTTTTTTCTGATTAACAGACAAAAGAAAGAGCCGATGTTCCCGATAGGAACATTTTTCAATACGATTTTTCGTTGATGATTACGGCATGTAGACTGGTACATTCATGAAATGATCATATGTAAAGACACTATACTATTATCTATCGACTCCATTCGCTGTCATTTATCTTCTTTAGACTGTAACATGAGTCTTATTCAAATGACATCCACCGAACGATGTATTAACTATGTCTTATGTGTGCGTCTGTCTTGCTAATTTAGTTCACAACTCTAACATGACATATTGTTGTCATGTTTCCGAGTATTACGAACGAACGAACAACATTGATAATATTAATTATGGTTAGATTTTGAAGAATGAGATGTTATTATTTACTATGGAATTCCAAGAACTGTTTGTAATTGATATTAGAATAGCGTGACACAACAGAACAGTAAAGACAAATAGGAAAATTGATTTCTATTATATTTAAGATGATTTATGCGTGATCGGTGAAATCTAATTGGTATTTGTCAAATAATAATTGATTAAAATGAATTTTTCTTGTCCGAAGACGTCAAGTACTTTGATTAACTATTGAAAAGAACGAGAATGTGTTTAATGTAAAAGATGAATCTGTATACTATTTGAGTGAATCGTGTCATAAAAGATTAACTTGGTCGGATGGTAAAGAATAAAGAATATCCTATATGATCTCAAATAATGTCAATACTTTCTATAGGTGAATGTCAAATTGAACAATGAGGCAAATTATCTTTATCCCGATGACACTTTACGAGACAAAAATCTGTCATTTCAAATCGTTGATGGCTTAAGTTATCTTAAAATAGATTTCATTAATCAATGACAAAAGGTTTTCGAGGTTTCTGAGAGTATTTAATTAGAAAAAAGATATATACAGTCCAGGGGCAGTGTGATCTACTTGCAAGTAATCGTGATCGTGTTCAAAAAAAGTTTAACCATTAACAGAAATGTTCCTTCTTGATCGTTTCCAACCATGTCAATTTCAAACATGAAATGTCACCAACATCCTCAATTACTTTGTCCTATTTCTAATTATCTCATCGAAGTCGAACAGGATCCGCGATAAACATACGATATTCTATTGATATAAATTGAAACCGTTCTTCCTTAATGTACTTATTGGTTCAGACGAACTTCTCTTTGGATATTTTATTCTTTAGAATTATTTCGAGTTTATAAATAAAACAAATGTTCCCGGTTACATTTACATCTTAATCAGAACGATCTCTTTTAGTCATGAAACCAATTAGAATAAGTATAAGTTGCTTTCTCGTTCTCGAATAATTATAATGTTGAGAAAAATGAACGAAAGCAATCATTCGAAAATGTTTGTAAACGAGGATCTTTTGTAATATAGTTATTAAGTTGAAAAATAAACATCGTTCTGATGTGATTATTTCAATGTAAACGATAATATGTTCAGTCTGGAAAGAATTAAATTGTTTCATATTGGTAAAACAGTGAATACTTTTCGAATCCTCGAAAATGTCATTATTAATCTACATATAAATTGTCATAATAGAAGATTTACAATGAAAATAAAATCTGTGATTTATTGTCCAAATAGTGATTCGATTTTAATGGAGAAAAACAAGGAAAATATCACAAAAGGAAAAAAAAGAGAACAGAAAATATGAATTGATCATCTTGATGAACGTGTTTGATATCCTGATATATTTGGACTTCCATTATTAACGATTTTTAATAGACGTATACTTGAACTATCTGTTTGTGTATTTCTTCGTTGATGTTGACTCATATGTAAACCCAATGATCCAAGTGAATTTCGATGTTCAACTGTTAAATATGGTAAAAAGATATGAAAATGATGTAAACCAAGCATTTGAATAGCTGCTGAACGATAATGATTAACACCTAAGATGTATAAGAAAAAATTAATTCCCAATGCTGCGATATTTAATAATTCACTTAAACGTTTTAATACACGAATAATTATTAATGAATGAATTGAACAACGACGATTAAAATATGGAACTAAAATTAATGATAAGGTTTCAACAATAGCATGAGGAAAATATAAAACTAAAAACATTAATGACACAGATGTTAATGTTCGAGTTAATTTCGATTTTAAATGTTCATTTTTTTGTCCAACAATTTGTCGTGGTGCGTGAATGACTTGTAAAATAGCTAAAAGAAACATATTTCTACAAGATAATTCATATGATTTTCTTAATTTACCCGCATTACTTGCGATTAAGATCACACCTGGTAAAAGTGTATAACAAAGTAAATGAAAAATATAGATTTTCCATTGAACATATAAGAGAACAGCGAATTGTTTGTGAGAAGGTGAAATTCGACATTGACAATTAAAATGATCTGATGTATTTTGTGTCTCATTTGAATAAAATTTGCCTTTAAATGCTGCACTATAACGATAACCCGATTTGCGACAAATCCATTGTTGATAAATCAAATGTGGAATATTAATCACAAGCGAAAGACAAATTAAAACATAAATAATTCGTTTTGCACATTGTAAATTACAAATCTTTCGTGATAAATTTGGCCATTGTTTTGCCCAAGGATCACATAATAAGATTAAACGATCAAATGTTAATCCGACAATGGTCCAACATGCGAGTAAAACAGTAACATGACTTGAATATTCATAAATCTTACAAAGAACTGTTGATCGAAAATTTAAAATATTTATTGCAAATAAATAAACAAGTAAATTATTTAATGATTGTAAACATTCAAATAATAAAGAGACAAAATCAAATATCGCCAATGCACGAAGATATTGAACAAATGAATGTTGAGGTAATGCAAAACGACAAACAACCAAAAAACATATCAGATTTCCAATTAAACCAATCACACCAAAACATAATGTACCTAAAGGGTTTTTCAAACGACATATGAAACTTTTGATTAGTTCTCCCGTCGCTTCTTCTTCTTCTTCATCATCTGTTACGAGGACATATGTTAAACAGACATGCTCGATGATTAGAATATCTTGGCATATGCTTAAGGCACTGCTAAATCAAATAATAATGTCAATTACTCAGACAGACTTCTCCTCTGTTTTTGTACTAATTATATTAGAAAAAAGAAAATGAAGAGTAAATTTTGAATTTGAAAGAAGAAGAAAAAACTCGTGTTTTTCTTTCTCTATGAAAATATTTCCATAGAGAAATCTGTTCGAAGATGTTTCCTTTTCCAAAAGATCGCTCATGAGTATTTTGTTATTGATGAAGTCAATGAAGCAATTGTCATTTGAATGACATAAGAATTCGAAAATGGAAAAAGAACAATGAATGAAATCTATTCTTACCAATGATGTTAATCCACCACCACCAAGAACCTGAATCATCATCCATGGCATAAGTTAACATCTGACCAGAATAATTTGTTCTTTGAAATTCTTGTGCACAATTCATTTCGAATTAAATGTTCAAGAGAAAAATTTCGTTTAAAGAAAAAGAAACGATTTTCATCTAAAAACTAGTTATGTGTAAATTATTAGACAGATCTAACTAGATGCGTGTCGATGTTTGGAAAAGAAATACAAGAGTATGACGAGTGCTTTACTTCCTTTTCTTCTTCTTCTTCTTCTTCTTTTTTTCGCAGAAGGGAAAAAAAGCGACTGTCAGAACAATAAGAACCCATTTCTTTTTCTTTCATCCATGCCTTTCGCTCTCTGTCTATCTTTTATTCCTACAATCCCACTTCGACTCATAAAGTTCACATCTTTCCACTCCTCTATCAACTGGAAAATGAAAAGACATTGTGATAAGAATGTGTTCTTTCGAAACATTTCTATTGTCATTTGTATTCAACGTTGTTTTCTACTTAAAAGAGCACGATGAGTATCTGATGTTTTTATGTTAATCATTTTAGTCGACTTGTCTTCTTCTCTCTCATCATGTCCTCAATTAATTTTAATGACGAAAATATTAATCATATTTAGAAAATATCCTGCCGACAAATGTTTTTCTAAAAAAGAACTCAACATGGTAAATCAAAGATGCAGAGAAAGATCTATTTTCGGCTAAGGAGTAGGAAAACATTGCAAAACACACACACACACACACACATTGAATAACATGTTGATGGTTTTTTCTTCTGATAAAAACAGGATTTTTTATACATTGATGTCAAAAGAGAAGAAAACAGAAGGAAAAATCTGTCAGTTAGATGTTGCACCGATTCCAATATCTCTGTTTTGTTATTCTCATTGAAAACAATAGTCTTTCTATTTTTATCTTTCTTTTATTAACATTCTTTTGTATATACATAAATAAGTCACTGTCACAAAGAGAAAAATACGTAAGACAAATTAAATTCATTAAAATTTTCGATCTTTCTCAGAAAAAAAAAAACAAAAGAAGCCGAAAGAAAGATTTATAATTAATTAAATAGAAACGAAAGAAGAAAGATGAGAAAGTCCAGCATTTGTTTCTGATAATCAAAGAGAAAATGTCGTTAACCTAAGAACAGGTGAATGACATTCTCAAATCTGTCGGTTCTTTTGCTTGTGAAACCTTATTAAGAAATCGAATCTTATCTTAGATGAGATGAATTATTTGATTTTATTTGAAAATTTCTTCGAGAAAACAGATGAATGTGACATTATGTCAAAAGATCTCCAATGGAAAAGATTTTACATTTATAATTAACATTTTTTTAAAAAACATTTATGAAATAAGAAAAGAAAGTATTAATTAATCTGATAAGTAGAAAAAGAAATCTGAATAATTCTTGTCATGTTCTTCTATTAATCACTGAAAGATGATGTTCGAACGAAGAAAAAAAAAAGAATCATCTTGTCAATATTCCCTCGACCATTTTCATGTTTCCTGATGTTTTTTTTTCTAAATATGAAAGAAAAACGTTGTTTTCGTCTAAAACATCTCCAAACAACAGTTCTTCCGTTCTTACCCTCAACTTCCTTTTACTATTTCACATTCATTTATCTTTCCTAATGCTTCAATAGGATGTTTCATCAGTACGTGAGCTATTGTAAGTGGTTACTTCTTCTATATCGAAGAATAAGAAAGAGATTTGTCCAACTGAATGATGTTGAAAAAAAAAGAGAATTCTTTATTCGTTTGAACACAAAATCCTATTGAAGAAAAATTCTTTTTCTTCGTAATTCAATTTCTCGTGAATATATTTTATGTATTTCGATTGAAATTTGTTTTTAATTAACTGTCATGTTTATTAGACAAATGTTGAGAAGATAAACATCTTAAGACGAGAATTGATCGTCTCGAATATTTTCATATGAGAAGAAGAAAATCATCTTAAATGTTTTTCTTTTGGATTTCAAATTCTTTGTATGGATAATTAATTGAAATATTCCTTTGAATTGACTTAAAAAGGAATCAAATTCATATTTTGTTTGAAAGCAAATCGTGAAATGAAATGGATTTTGTTGCCTTTAGAAATATTTCTAAATAATTAAATAAAACTAATTCCGACAAAGTTCCATAAGAACAAAATTTTCAAACTAATCGTCTCAGACGTTTTGATTTAACCTTGATGACCTTGTTTAATCCGAATAACAAAGAATTGAACAACAACAACAACAAGAAAAAAGACAAATTTAATCAGTTTCTGTAATATAAGCTCTTAAAAGTGTAATATCATCAATTGGTCGATCATTCTCTGTTGTTTGAATCATTGAAATCTTTTGTAAAACATGAATACCTGAATGAAGACGTCCAAAAATTGTATGTAATTTATCTAAAGATTGTGCAGGTGCTAAAGTAATGAAGAATTGCGAACCATTTGTGTTGGGACCTGCATTGGCCATAGATAAAATTCCAGCACCTAAATAGATCAAAAGAAATGAAAAAAATCTAATTTACAACGGAAAAAAAAGAAATTTATTTTATTATCGAACGAGACTTTTTTGCTAATTGAATTTGGCTTTTTTTTTCTTTCTCGTCGAAAAAGAAAATTTTCTTTGCTTTTTTTAAAAATATCTTATTTAATTTAATGAAAGTTAAATAATTGTGATTCAGTCCGAGTTTTTCAAAGAAAGAATTGGCCTCGACTAAACAATCACATTAGAAATATTCAAATGTGAATTAATTTAATAGAATTTCTGATTCGATTTCGTCGTTTCGACGTGACTTTTTATCATTTGCTTTGATAATCAAGATCTTTCTAAAGAAGAAGAAGAAATAAAAACTGATTTTTCATGTCAATTCGATTAATACTCTCTGAACTATCGAAGAAAAAATAAACCTTCTGCTGTGTTTTTGTTAAAAGAATACAAAACTCGTTCATGTTGAAAAGAAGTCGATCGCTTTACTAATAATGTTTTCCAGTTGAAAATACAAGAAATTCGTTGAAGTAGAATGGATTATTCAATACGGAAAAGATTTCTATTCGACGAATGAAAATAGATTTAACGCACGAGAGAAATATTCTATTGAACTAAGATCGACAAAACAATTAGGAAACAAATGTTTATTCATTTCTTCAACAAGAGATTTTGTCTCTTCCGCATATTTAATCTTCACATTGCTCAAAAATTGGAAAAACAGATTCGGACAACTAATATTCAAAGATCGAACCATTGACAAATACGAAAATCTTTATTCTCTTCGTATTCTATTTAAGATTATTAAATGAAAATGAATTTGTTAAACAAACCTGTATGTTTTAACAGAGGAGTAATTTCATCATTAAAATATTTTCCATAAATAGATGCTCCTCCTCTTCCTGTTCCAGTTGGATCTCCACCTTGAACGATGAAATCTTTTACAACTCGATGTAATTTTGTTTGATTGTAATAACCACGTCGAGCTAATTCAGCAAAATTTCGACAAGTATTTGGTGCATGATCCCAATAAAGTTCAACAATCATTTTTCCCATTCTAAACAGTTTTTTCTTCTTCTTTTTCTTTTTCGAAATCAAAATTCAATTTACATACGATGTTTCTAAAGTAACAAAAGGTGGTTTCCAATCATCCGATGGAATTGATGAATCATTCGAATGAACTAAATGCATTGCGATTTCGATTCTAGAAAATATCAAACGAATTAAATATTGTTTTTTATTCATTTACTTTCAACAAATTTTATTAGTTAAATGAGTTTTTTTTTCAAATGTTAAATATTTATTTTCGATTTTGATACAGATATTTAACTGTTCAAATAAAACAAAACTAATCTGACAAAAGACTAGATTAAGGGATATTGTTGCGTTTGTTGTTGTTGTTGTTGTTGTTTTTGTTGATAAAGAACTGATGCTCGTTTTCGTTTTGCTTTACTTGATGCAGATGGTTTGATATTTTGTGCTGATGCTGTTGATGAATTTGATCGATGACATTTTGGACAAAACCATGGAATCGATTCAGGAGGTTCTTCAGCAATACCAACACATTCCCTTTTAATTACACAATTTTATATAAAAACAAAAGATTTCTTTCAATTGAAATGTTTACCAATGATACCAATCATCACATAAATCACATTGAATCATTGGTTCTTGACCATTATCAGCTATATTACATGACGGACAAATCCAAATTTTCTCTTGAGAATCGTGATTGATCTTTAAAATACAAGAATTATTAATCAAGTCGACAATTAATTTTCAAATCTTTTTCATTGTAAATGTCATTTCACAAGTTGAAATCTCCTTCAATTCTTGAAATGATTCATTTGTGAAGAATACAGAGAATAATTGTGTAGATATTTATCATAGAATCTTCGATCTCAAATAAGAAATTCTATACGAGTTTAACTAATCTTTATCGAAAAGAAATGATTTCCGATAGGAAAGATGTGATATTTTCTTCGGATTTAAATAATAGAAAAGTTGTTTTACCCTTCTTTCTTCGATAACAGCAACTCCAACAATATTATTGACTTTTTTAGGATTCGATTTCTTCTTAATAGTAATGGATTTCTTTTTTATTGGAGTTGAAGATAATGTTTCTGTTAAATGAAGTCCAATATTAGTTGAAATTGGTTTATTAGGTGATGTTCTTTCTCCTAAAGGAAGATCATCAATTGAATTTGTATTATCTTCATGAAATGGATTATCAGAATGAGAAACGATTGGATTGGAAACATTTCCTGATGTTAAACGTTTCAATTTTGTCGATTTTTGTCGTTGTGGAGTTCGATTTATTGAAGATTTACTTCCCAATGGTAATTTTAATACAAGTGAATCGGGTTTTTTTCTTAAAAAAAGAAAGATTTATTTCGATAAAATTCCAATGAAATTAAAAAGATTTACTCGGGTAAAATTGGTTGTATATTATCATTAAAATTCGTTGGAACTGACGATTCTTCTGTTGGAATTGTTGGTTTTCCTAATTTAATTTTCAGACGAATTGCTCCACTATTCGATTGACTTGGTGGAGGCTTCAAATAACAAAGATAAATTTTCAAATAAAAACAAAGAACAAAACTTTACTGGAATAGTTTCATTTGGAATTGATAGAATTGGTGGAATTTCCATCGTATTATTCGATTGTTCTTGATCATTATTTCGATTTTCTTGTTCAATTTTCACTTTCTTTTCTTCTTTTGTTTCTTGTTCATGATGTTTTTTCTTCTTTTTCTTCTTTTTCTTCTTGTCTTCTTCATTCCGAAGAAAATTCTAAATGAAAACGTCAATTCAATGAATTCAAAAGGAAAACTTTATTATTTTACATCTGTTGAAATTTGTTCAACTCGATTAGTCGGATCACTGATTTCAGTTGTTGATTTCTTTTCATTCATTGTTAAATTAACATTTATTGAAGATTCGATTGGATTTGAATGAATTTCATTGGGAATTGTAAACGATGGACTTATTTGAGATGTTAATTCATTATTTCCACCAAATAAAGGTACAGATGAAGTACGAATTTTCAGATTTACTTTCTAAAAATGAGGAAAATTTACATTGAATTAGATTTATTTGAAAACAACTTCGTGTGTGTTTATTGATGGTTTCGAAAATTTCTTTGTCGCAGTTGCGGGCATTTCCTTAAATTTACAAGAAAAATCATTTTTATCATCAAATTTCGATGAATTTTACCGAATTGTTGTTATTATTGACATTTTTAATATTTAATTTCAATGTTGGAAGTTTAATCGCTGATTGTGTTGATGAAATACTCGATGGTTTAGTTAAATCCAAAGCGACATCGTTACTTTTCTCGGTATGCGTTTCTGCAATCTGAAAAAGAAACCATATGAATGAAATTTGATTTAAAGAAAACGAAAAGAATCGAACTGTAGTTGATGGATTTGGTTGAGAATGTGATGATTCATTGAATTGATTTAAAGGTGGACTTATCAAAGTTTTCTTTGTTGAATTATTAATTAAAGGATTTGTATTTAATGAAAGATTTGTTGATGATTTTTTCATGAGAATTCCATCAATTGAAGGTGTTGTTAATGATTTTTTGATTGATTGAGATATTTTCTCAGTTGTTGATGTTGTTGTTGACGTTGTTGTTGTTAATGTTGTTGTGATTGTTGTTGTTGATGTTGTTGGATTTGGTTTTGGAATTGTCAAACGAATTGGTAAAGGAGGACCTTGTTGTTGATCTTTATCATTATTTTCCTTAAAAAAAACGAAGAAAATATTTCTTTTCGATTTGATTTGTTATTAAAAATACTTTTTCCATTTGTTCTTTTTTCGCTTTTTCAGCTGAAATCGCCGCTTCCATTTCAATAATCCGTCGTGGACGATAAAGTATCGATGGTAAAGCTCGATTAGGTCTTTTTCCAACTGGAACTACACTTGTTTCATCACCATTTTTACTTAAAAATGAGAAAAGCGTCAATGGATGATGAGAATCATTTCTAAATAACAAAAGAAACATTTTCTTTCCTCATTCAATGACTTTTCCACATACTTATCAATCTTTTTCTCTTGATCATGATCAAGATTTGTACCGAAAGTTGTATCAATATGATTCGTTGTTGTTTGTTCAGGTGTTTCTTCTGAAGAAAATAAACAAAATTTCGAAATGAAAAAGTCAAATTGAAAAGAATTTGTTTTACGATCAGGAAATAAAGGTAACCAATCATAAATATAATCTGTTGTTTGATTTGAATCTCTTTCTAAAACTTGTGCTGAATCTTTGGGTGGAATTCGTAGATAAAATTGTGTTTTCTTTTGAAAAGGAAATTGAAGAATTGGTTTGGAAAATGGTAAAGATTGAAAATGTTTCATATAATCAGAAAAACTATGCAGATTTTCTTGTTGATTATCCATTAAAATGGATAAAATATCGAAAAAATTCACTTGTGATCGATCAGTTAATTGAAGAAGATTTGATGTTTGTTTCATTAATTTAACGAATTCTCTTTCACAAACATCAATTAATATATCCATCGTTATTTCTGTTGTTGAATCAAATCCAATTCGATCACATAATTGACTTAGAGATATTTTTAATAATTCTCTCGTATAATTTAACGACATTCTGATCTAAAAACAAAAAAAAGACTAACTTTTTGCTCACTAAAATAGAACTTTCGTCTGTATATTGTTTTCTTTTAAATTCTTCGTCGACAACAAAATCTTTCATTTTTATTTTCAATATTTCGACAACAATTTGCCGTAGAAAATACTGCTGATGATTGAATATTATCACATAAATAAAGATTTTCAATTGGAAAATGTTCAGATGAATTGATTAATAATGAAATACATTCCGATGTGATTTGATTACAACCCGATAAATCCAAATATTTCAATGATTTTAAACAATTATTTGTAATCAATAAACTAAAATAAAAATGATTTCTTTCGGAAAAAGATCAATATCTTTTTTACTTTAAACCATAATCAGTTATTTGATAACAACCAGAAAAATTCAAAGTTTCGATTTGAAAATTATGAAAATAAGTTGAAGGAATTTGTTTACATAAAAGACATTTCTTCAATGAATTTTCTTTTGAACAATCGTGTTCAACAAGACATTCTTGTTTATCTTCAATTGTCAATTGATTTGTATTTAATAGAATATTCATTGATGAAATTAAATAAATAAATAAATTATCATCAATTAATTCACATCCTTCTAAAATTAAACTTTTCAATGAATTTATCCAACGAGAACTAAAAGAGAGAAAAACAAGATTTACAAACATATTCACAAGGAGAATCTTTTCGAATTTATTCTTCTAATTGATATTTAAACGAAAGATATCTTACTGAATAAATGCTTTCGATGTGACTTTTGTCATTCCAAGATTTAAATGTTTTAAATTTGGACATAAATCAAAGATTTTTCGTGCCTTTAAAAAGAAGAGAAATAAAAATGAGAAATGTTTGAAAAACTTTTACAATATTATCATTAATTGTTAAACTTCCGTATAAAATTAAATTTTCAATTGCAAAACCATAATCAGGTAAAAAATATTTGACAAAACCCGTTAAAATTCGATTTTCGTTGTGTTTCTAAATTATTTAAAGAAAATCTCTTTGAAGTTTTCATTGATTTTATTAAAACGAACCAAAATGAAATTTTCCTCCTCATCAATTTGTAAATCTTCCGATGGAACATTTGAATTCCAAATTCCTACAAACAAATCAATTGAATTTTTAATCGAATCATTTTAGAAAAATCAACAAAACCTTTTGCCCAATTGATCGGATTGACAATTTTCCAAATAGTTTTATCTTTAATAATCGTTTTCCATCGTTTATTCACTCGAATCGATGAAATCAACAAATCCAACGGATTCAGATAAAATGTAAATAAACGAAGAAGAATTTCATTGGGAATTTGCGAGATTGGACAACGGTTTTGTAGAACTATTCAAATGTTCATTGAATATTTGATGAAAAACAAAGAAAATATTTACCTTCAAGTGCACTTTGGTTCCATTGTTTATTAACCAAAAGACACGATTGTTTAATTTGTTGATTTGATAAATATTTCATGATATTTTGAAGAATTTTATCGGAGAAATGATTAATTGTGATTAATTGTTCATATGAAATAACTGAAATGATAAAAAGACAATGAAGAAAAAAGGTCTTTTTGGCGAATGAAATTTTACTATAAATTTTCAAAGGTCTTTCAATTTGAGGCACAAGATTATTTCCAGAATTTTCGCGCTTTTGTAAAGTCATTTTAATCACTTCAATTCTCATAATTTTCAGTTCGATTTCTGTAAAATGCTTTGAAAGTAATGGTTGAATATCCTTTCAAAGCAAAAGAACAAACATTTATAGAAAAATTCATCATCAATTGTAACACAAAATACGTACATTTTCTTCTTCGTGCATATGTGGAACGAAATCTTCGTAAAATCTCATCATGGCTTTGTGCAATTTGACTCCATATGACACTCGATCAGCATTTTCACGACGAATAAATGCGTAACCATCACGAAAGAGACTCATCAATGGTGTAAAACGATCAACTTTATGACAATTGCAAATCACATCAGTATCATCATTTGTCGATTGTTGTTTCATCTTTTTCTTCAATTTTCTCATCACAAAATGATTTTCGATTTCTTCATGAGCCATAAATTCAGTAAATGTTCGTTGTAATCGAATTAATAATTGCTCGAAATCATTCAAACTGGTGAAATCTGTATGACCAACCTTTATCAAGGAAAACAAATCAAAATAAAGATATTCGAAAAGAAAAAAATATATCCTTCGATTTACTTTTAATGTACAACAATTCATTAATTTTCTCATTCGACTATGAGCAAATGTAAAGACATTTAAATCTTCCAGAACAATTGGAGCCATTTGACAATTTTGTCAGATCTGTGAAATAACTAAGACGTAGTTTCAAATAAATAGACAAGACAGAGAATATTTCTTTCAATGAAAGGAAAAATGACTCAATTCGACATTTCTATCAACCATGATCGATTGACAATAACCTCTACATTTTTCTTGTAGATGTCGCTAATGGCCATTTCTTATCTTCTCAATAGATCACATATAGCATTGAATGCAATTCGACTTCGAATGAAATGCGTGAAAGTTCAGTTTCAAATGAATGTATTTGAAGATGATAAAATTTAAAGCAAAAAAGGAAGAAAAAGAACTGAAAAAGCGGTTATATTCGAAAATAAATTGTTCTATGCTTTGTTAGCATGATTTTCCACACGTTCAAGTAATTCATCCGCATAACCAGGTGAATAATATCTAAATGAAACATTGAAATGTGATATAGAACACAAAAGAATCATTTTGAAAATTTACTTGACGACTTCTTCTGGAAAGCAACTGTTAATTGTATTGATATATTCAGCCAATGGTGAACCTTCTTCAGCTTTAATCTCTTGAATCTAAGAAAAATCGAGAAATGTTAGGAAATGAAAAGAAACAAATTAAGCGTTTCAAAACCTTTTTCAATCCTCCACTTGTAACAAATAATCTTCTTGCTTTTGGATCATGTGGAAGAACTTTGGAGAATTGTGCAACGACATGTTTAAGAATATTTGGTGATGCTTCGTGTAATAAAGGTTCCAAGACAGGTAAATAAACACATTTTTGAAGAATATTTTTCAAAGCTTTCTTTGCTTTTGTTTGTAAATCTTCTGACATATCTGTTCGCATATATAATTGAAGTAATTTCGGTAAAACATTGGCAACAGCAACAGATTTTGCATGTTCAGGCGTATGACGACCAATTTGACCTAAGAATAAACTTCATTCGATCAAAAGAAAATCATTTTCTCAAAAAACAAACCAAGTGCCCATGCTGTTGCAGCTAAGATATGATCTTCTGTTTCTTCATTAAGTGCAATTGATAATTGATTAATACCCTGAAAAACAAGAAATCATTTCATTTATTTTCTCAAAACTTCGCTTTACTTTGGAAACAATGACAGCCATTGCTAAACTTTCTGTATGTGCAGCTGTGTAACCCAACATCATAATACCAGGTAAACGAACATTTCCACGAGTTGATGCAACGTAATTGACCACGGCTGCAACTCCACCTGCATTGACGATCATTTGTGCCAACTGAAAAAGATTTTTATCAAATTGAAATGAAATTTTCAGAATGTTGTTACTTCTGGTGTATGTTTAACAATTTCTCGTATTAATGTCGCACAATTCTTTTTCACATATTCATCTGTATCATTCAAACATGCAAAAGCTGTGGGAAAGATTTCCGCTTCGACAACCATTTCAGCTAAATCAACGGAATGTTTGGCAATTTGACTCAATGCCGAAAAGACTTGTCGCTATTTTAAAGAAATCAAATTTGAAAATTAATTCGACAAGAAACAAAAAAACAAAGAAATACTTTGAGTTGGGCATCAGGATTGAGAATCATTTGAGCAAGATGTGCAATCGCTCCAGCGTCCACAACAGTTTGTGCTAATTCAGGTGAATGTTTAGCGATATCAGATAGAGCTGATGCAGCAACACGTTTCAAAGCTATTTCAGGTTCTTGTAAACATAGAACAAGTAATGGAACACCACCAGCATCAACAACATGTTGCGATAATTCTAAATAATCATTAGTTACACTTCATTGAATGACAAATGTCTTTGCTTTTCTTTGCATGTATTCGGTTCATTTGAAAAAAAAACAAAGAAAGGTCACTAACGTTTTCTCTGAATGTCGAACAGTATAAATAGATGAACATGAACAACATATAATTTCATAAATACACTGAACAATGTCAACTCAATGTCGAATGTTTCTCATTGTTCTTCTTCTTTATGGAATCTTTTCTACAAATGCCCTTCAAATGAATATGGATGGATCTGTGGTCATTCCTGATGGATCATTTGTGCCTAAAGAACCAATTATAGTTCTTCCACGTTTTGATCATCGTTCGATTAAGTGTTTTCAAGGATCTAGTTGTTCAACTCCTCTCTCGTGTCTTTTGTCTTCGAAACTAATTGATTGTTAAATCTTTTTGTTTTGTTTCTCAAATAAAATTCGCGTTCGAACCTGCGTTATGTCGAGCAATGTAACCAAGTGCCCATGTTGCTGCTTCTTTAACTGATGGATCGAATTCTTCGAGACAAACAACAAGCGCATCCAAAGCTCCACAATCGATAACTGATTGTGCCAATTGTGGCGAATGTTTAGCGACAGCACGTAAAACAAAAGCAGCGGCCTTCTTATAAAATCTCTGCAAAAAAAAAACACGACAAGAATCGATTTTGTTTTCCAGAGAAAAAAAAAGATGAGATTTACGTTTTGTTCAGCTAATGAATAGACAAGTTGAGGAAGAATATCACCACGAACAACTGATTCAGCTAAATGATCGGAATAATTCGCTAAACGACCTAAGGCCAATGCAGCTGTTTGTTGAACACTTGGAACAACATCAAGTAATAATGGTCGAAGTAATGCCATAACACCAGCATTTTGAAGTGTTTCGATATTTTGCGGTCGAGTTGCAAGATCAGCAACAGATTGTACAAAAGCTAAACGAGCTTTTTGATATTGTTCAAAAACTAAATTAATTTGAAATAGAAATGAATCATTTGGATTTGAATGAAGATTTCTTTCTACCTTGTAATGTATGTCGTTGGCTCATGATGACAGACGAATAAACGACAACTAATGAAAAATCTATTCAACGATTCTAACTACCACTACAAATGGCAACAACAACAAACGATGTTTGATTGTATGTTAGCAACCAAAGAAACCATTACAATCATCTTAAGAATGTCGTTACTCAGTTCAATCACTCATTTTCGATATCAATTTTCTTCTTTTCTTTTCTGTTCATTTTAATTTAAATGAGATAAATCACGATTTTTAAAAGAATTTGCAATTGTTGACTAAAGATTCCAAAAGAAGTCAAAAAATAGAGGGCGTTGGTTTTTCTTCTATATGAAAGTCGAATTCCACAGCGATTGATTTTTCATACGTGTATCGAAATCACTCAAATGTAAATTGTTAGCATGTGTATGATAAATCAAATGCGTTATTTTTTCTCAAGGAAATCGAAAATGAATAGTTCTAATGAAATCCTTGAAATAAAAATGAACGATCGTAGACAACTATAATCATTAACGAAATACAAAATAATCAAAGTCAATTCAATGAATATCTTCTGTTGAAATTCGCTAATTATTGATCGAGAAGGCTAATGAATTTTTTATGTTTTTCTCTAATGTGATATCGATGCCGCACCCAAAATAATCACTTGCACTATTAGAGAACAAAATCATTAGAAATTTGTTTAGAAAACATGTCCTTTTTCTCTAATGAGATATCTTTTGAAGATCTATATAAAGACATTGATAACAAGTTGTCTGTTTATTTCAATCACCAAATCATTTTCTAGTGGAAATGCCTTCATTAAAACAATTGTACGTTGAATAAATCGAAAGATTTACGAGAAGATTTTTCTTTATTTTCTATTCAGATCAAGTACAGGTGGTTTACTTCTATCAGTAAGTGTATGTTTAATTGTAACAGTATTTGTTGGCATAGCAATAGCTATTGTTCTATCTCTTATCCCAACATATACATCAAAAAAAGATCTAACGCCGCTTGGAGAAGGTGCGTCTCAAAATTTGGTATTTTATCTTGATTTTCATTCGTTTCCTTTTTTTTTCAAAAGTATATTGTATTAACAATTTACTACTCTATGCAACACTTAATACCAGTACTGCAGCTACAGCTGGAAGTGCAGTATCTGGTGGTTATCCGTTAAATCAAGCGGTAAAGAAAACCTTCAAAGAAAAGACATTTGAAAGTTCTTTTATTTAAATAGTGTTATCGATTATTACAACAATATCAAAGTGATACATTGATTCAACTCTGTTCGCTGACAAATTGTATTCTTGCAAATGCTACAACTGCATTAATATATTCTTCATCATACATATCATGTTCAGCAACAGTTTATTATTCAACTCGATGTAGTCAAAGTTCATCATCTGGTGTAAATAATACTGTTTCATCATCAGGAAATAGTGGATGTCGAACAAGACGAATGAATAACATTAATGGTGCATTGGGATCAACATGGACAAATCAATACACAAATGTACCTTCAGCTATCATTTCGAGTTCAACAGCTGCTATTTCTAATCTGACAACTGTACCTTTTTCAAATTATACACGTAAGTTTTCTCGTATCTTTCATCTTTGAAAATGATTTTCTTCAATTAGAAACTGGAACATATTATTGTGGAAGTGCCACTCAATCGGCAATTACAGCAGCGATTAGTAATCAAACCATTGGATAAAACAAAATCAATCTGAAATACTTTCTCTTTTTTTAACGAAAATCACAGACAGTTAATTTAGAAGTTCTTTTTTTAATTCAGAGTTCGTAGTTTTTCATTGATAATAAAGTTAAGTATTGATAAGCAAGCACGAAGAAAGAGACGTTTTTATGTTTACAAAGAAACACAAAATGAATTGATTCCAAGTGAAATCACTTTTCAAAGTTGTTTGTTTGGACTCAGTTTATGAAAGATCAACGTAAATAAGACAAACAAATCGATTTTTCCAACTGTTTGATTTAATTGTAATTCTGATGAATAACATTTATAGCTGATGGATGAATGAATGAAATGCAGACAAACAAGATAAATTTCTTAATGAAATCGAATTTTCGAATAAACAAAAACACCTGAGGAATTTGGTGCAGAGAGATTTGAATAAAAAAGATCAAAGAGTTAATTATAATTAATCAGAAAGAAACCTCGATTTATTTCGTATATTTGAAGAATGTCTTGTTAAATTGACATATTTTGAATTTATCATGTCTCCCAATATGTTTTGTAAAGATGTTAATTATTTTTAAATTACACAAATCGAATTGAAGATTGAAAATACTTTGTAGGAACATTTGTAAAGGTCACAAGTACAGATTTCGATCGTTCTTTTCGTGAAGCAAAAAAATAACGTGCTATTGTCGTTTTCCTTTTTTTTCCAAATCGAACAAACGATAAATTGACCTAAATGATACATATATGTATAATCATTTTATTTCTCTTTTCTGAAAGACAGGGTTATACAGCGTTTAAATGCTGTGTTAAAAAGCTTAAAGTTTGTCTGTCAGTCTGTCCTATCCAATCAGAAGTCAGCATTTCTAAAATCAATGAAATTGATCGATAGTTGTTAGAAAATAATTACCGATAGGGTAATTGAGGTCGAGGAACTCGAATCCGAGGTTAGTATTGCTTTATTAATTTTTCATTAACTAGCCACGACTCATTAACATCCATTGTCAGAGTAGACCGAAGGGTTTCTGACGTCGTGAATTTCGTCTTATTCCTTCCTCTTTACAAAGGAGATCTTTTTCTTCATCTGTTTTCAAATCTTTTGCAGAAGATGGTGAGCTGAACACTATTCACGGACGTCATGTGTACAAAGATAGTAGCTCAAGAACTTACACGAAAAGATCTAATACATTGTACATAATGAAGTTTCTAATTCAAGAAATCCGAAAAAGCGATATGAGCTTATAGTATCATCTTTGCTTTCTAGGCTACATACATCATGTCTTTTTGTGGGATTTTAGTAGAAGTAGTTCACGAAGTGATATACCCGTCAGTGGAATTCCATTTTAGTAACTACAGACGCGTGGACTATACAAACAGTATTCCGAACGAATGCAGCGCTATAAAAGATGTTCGTTTCGAAGCAAATCATATAATGAGACTTTCTTATCTAGTTTTTTTTGATAGTCGAATGAATTGAAGATCATGACTGTCGAAGCGACAAGGCATTTAAATGCTAGATTAATCCTAAAGTGTATGCTTAGAATAGCCTTGCCAGGCTTCTGATAACTTTGAAAGGGATGTGACGAATGGATATTCCTCAATGAAAATATTCGACAAGATATAATTTTGTTGACAGGAGAGAACAGAATTGGATTATCGCTGGAAGACACAGACGAATGTTCAACCTTTTCAAGTAGTCTACTGTATATCGTCCGTCTGTGAGCGATGAATTTTTCAGTCAACATAGTGAGTGCTAGAGAATTATCCACTGACAAATGGCTAATCGATCTGATTCCTAGCAAGACCTCTGTATCCTATTCATTCTAGTTCTAGCGTGTGACATAGTACCATGATTCAGTTGAGCACCAGTAGCAGTCGCAGTGCGTTTTCTCTCTTTCGAAGTCTCTGAATGTGTTCAGCATTCTGAAAAGTCTTTCAAAAAAGGATTAGCGAATTCAAAGGATGAGCGTTACTTGTTAGTAGAAAAGCGTTTTATCAAAACTTTGTCTTCATGAACCGTTAGATCTAGACGACAGAAAAATCAAAAGGAACGAATATTAGATGTAGAAATGCTTACGGCCATACCACGTTGAATACACCAGTTCTCGTCCGATCACTGAAGTTAAGCAACGTCGGGCTCGGTTAGTACTTGGATGGGTGACCGCCTGGGAATACCGAGTGTCGTAAGCTTTTTGCACACTCGTTTTTAATTTCGAATTTCGAATTAGTGATGAGATCTGTTTTCAGCAGAGTTTCATCGGCTTCCGCTTTTTTTTTCCTCTAGAATAGTGATCAATCCAAAAATATTATCGTTCTTCGCTATAGATTTTCTCTCGAGGGTGTTGCGTGTTTATTGTAAGAACATAAGCAGGAACGTGATGAAAGAGAGCAGAAAATGACCACACACACACACATGTAAAGATCTACATACTCAAATACCTATACATGGGATCGTAATCGCGAATAATCCCACGAATATAGAAGAGATAAGGACAAGCCCATACAAATAGACAGCTGACGCATGAGAGAAAAGGAAAAATTCAACACGTCTTATATTGGAAGCATGTCGACAGTTGCAATAGCATAGAAATACACAGATCAACGCAGTACGATCAAATATGAAATTTGAATTTAAGCATTCAGCTGTTGATTTTTATTAGTTCTGGTCGACACATTCCGAGTATTCCCTTTTCTGAAAGAAAGCGTTATAGCGTATAGAATGCGGCCGTTAAAATACAAAAGTTCGCTTACATAATCTAAAAAGATTGCAGCATTTGATAAGTTCATAAAAACTCAAGGATAGTGTCGAGTAAGGGTTGATCGAAGGGTAATCGGGGTCAAGGGTCTCGAATCTAGTGTTAGTTTTTTCGTAAAAAGTTTATTTTTTTTAGACAAAGGATAATTGTTTTGCAAAAAAGGTTTTTTAAGGCGATAGCGTTTTAAGCAGCAATATGCAGAACAAAACGAAATAATTGATAAACATCGGATTCTTGGATTTCCATGCTCATCAACATACTGATAAAATCACAACTATATAAACAGTTATATTACATAAACGTCATCCGATACTAAGCACTCAAATAATATTTCCTCTGACAGGTGGATATGTAACGGCTAGCCGCGAGTGACTGACCGGAGGGAGACCGGCGGACGACTAGATGTTTGTTTCAACGACTTAGAAGAGATAAAACGAATGTAAGCCAATTAATTTTGAGTTTAAATGGTCGGAAGAGAGTCGATGAGCGAACGCATAGAAACTATGTTCTTTGTTTACATGTTTATACAAATGAATTGAAAGTAGTTCGACATGAATAGAGCAGAAAAAGATTAAAAGAAAAGAACGTGGATAAAAGTTGGTTTAGTTCAAAGTTTTATATAGAAGTCTTCTAATTCTTTCCGAAAAGGGTCAGCGAATCCAACGAATGATCGCTTCTTGTTGTTATCGGTTGCTAAGGAAATTAGGAAAAAGTGCCGTTCTTTTGTTGAAATGTACGTAGAAAAAACGTTTTATAATCGGAAGTAAATTTTCCCTGCCTCGATCAGATATGATTAATATTAAAGCAGAAATCCTTTTACAAAGAAATTTCATTGGCCCAATTGATCAATAATCCAGCGCTTTAATCGTCATTCATCTTCATTTTCAAAGTTCATTTATAATGTGTGTAGTTGACAATTAAGTACTACGATTGACACTCACATACGAGCAGACCTTTCACAGTGTTATAATCAGACCTACTGGAAACTTTGTGTGATCGTTCTTCCATCGAAACGATAGTGTTTGGTTGAGCAGATTTTCGTGATTGACGTATATTTCGAATAGTCAACAATCCGAGGGTGTGAGGGTGGGTGAGGGTGTGAGGGTGTGTCGAACTGTTCCGAATAAAAAAATCATAATTCACTTGAAGAAAAATATTATTGATAAATGCGATATACTCATCATCAGATGCTATTTTACACAACAAACATCTTTCGCCTATAGTATTTGTACTTGATATTCTCTATAATCAGTCTTCTACGTGATAAGAAAAGTGTATGACACGAGAGGAAAGATTATTCTACATTATTCAATGACACAGAATCCCATTATTTTCTCATGGACGACGCCAGGAAATGTCACAAATATCTCTAATTGTTGGAATAAAGCTTTTCCACTATTTCATTTCATTATGATCATGTATAACTATCATCGGAGTTGAATTATTGGGTAGAAAGTTTATTGTTCAACTAGCTGTTTCATCAGATATAAATTTAATCGAGTTGGGTGAGGTTAAGACGTTGTCTGCTACATAAATCATCCTCCCTATGAGAAATTCTTTTTTAGTATAGACATGTCTGAAACGCAGGCATAAACGCACCCAGATGCGTCTTTCAGGTGCATTGAACCACGTTTCTGATTTTTTTTGCCGAAAAAAGCATCCTATTCCCACAGCTTCAGTCTGTGTCACCAGGTTCTCCAATTAAAAACCTGTCAACTCTTTTCATGAATTAGGACCATAACTATTGACAGAAAGTAATGCCGAACGAGTAGACTAAAAGTTTCGACATAGAAATGATGATATTTAGTAGAATAAATGAAGTAAGTTTTGAAAAGAAATCATTACTGGAGATGGATTTTCCAAGGGAGAAAAGTGAGACTTCAGACTTCAAATACTATTTGAAATAGATCAAGTCTTGGCTTTCTCCTCTTGATCAACACACTCGTAAGATTCTCTAACCTATGTTCATCCAATATCATGTGAACGTATTCTGAACAGTTAACAACAACAACAGCTACTCCAATCTCACCTGCTTCAACAACTGAATCAACTGTTGCTGTTTTGTATCCAACAGACTTCGTAAGGGGCATGCATCATACATCTGTATATATAGCATGATTAATAAAATAATACGAAGATATTTGTCTTCAATCCATCGAAAATCTATGCACAATTAAGACATACACAACGAATGAAGCAAGTGATGAAAAATTAAACTTGTGCACGTATTCGACATTCATTTTTCACTTTTAACATAATCCAAACATTTATTTTTATTTGTATTGTTACTTTGAATAAAATGAAGATAGAGTGATCAATCATATCATATAGAATAGATGTCTTTCGCTATTTTTTGTCAATCAGATAGATTAGGTTACTGTGGAACAAAAGGATTGTATAAAAATTGTCTCGAGTCCAGTGGATTAGTTTATCGGCAATATTTCAAAATAAAACTGAAACAAGAGAGTGGCATTCTATGAATTGTTACACAGTGAGCATGTGCCAGTAAAACAATTCTTTGTGTATCAGCAAATTCATTCATACTTAGTCGATGTCTATGGTGATTATATGCATCCTTTTTGTCCATTTCTGTTAAAACTCTATTGATAGATCTTATATGCAGCGGCCAAAATCAATTTCAGACTTCTATCTCTTCGAAGTAGACTTCTTTCAACATTAATATTACTTTCCGACTAGATTTAACAACAAACGATACATTTACAACAGCAAAAGCTCATTTCATCACATTTGGTTCAAGGTGTAAGAAAAGATGAAAGAACGTTTATGTTTCCCGATTACAACAACATATAATCATTCGTTTTCTGAATGGTTACGAACACATTTAATTAGATCCACTAGGATGAATAGACTTTTAGCGTCTCGAGCAAGTAAGGTTTAACCTCTCTGTGATACTTTTTTTCAGACAGAAGCGCATTATGCAAATAGAAACTGTTTCGATTTATTTCAGTTAAATTACGTCTTTTACTAAACACTTTCTTTTCACTTCTTAAATATTTGCGTAGTAGCAATCGCATTCTCCACAGGCATGTTTTTCTCGTTCTTCAGTTGTTATGCATAAAAAAGGGAACTCTGTGAATGCGGTAGAAAGAAGAAAGAGCACAAAAATTTACCATCGAAGTTACCCCTTTTATTGTGAGTTAACCGACACAGCACCAAAGCAGAGTGTGTGAAGGCAATAACAACTAGGAGAACAATAATCAGAACTTTCAACACAGTAGACAATCGATCGATCTTCGAAAGATGCAAGACGTCGTTGTGATCTGGCTCGACAATCAGATTGATCATAACAATGCTGATTGCCAGTTAACAATTGCACAACTTGAACACACTACTGACAATGTCACTACATTCACGGATAATGATGAATGTGTCGAATATATACTCAATTGTAATGACTATCAAGTCTATCTAATCGTGTCTGGTGCACTTGGACAATATCTTGTACGTTGTATCCACGACATTCCTCCATTACACTCGATTTTCATCTTTTGTCAAAACAAATCATGTCATGAACAATGGACTAAATATTGGAACAAGATCAAAGATGTTTTCACTGATATAACATCACTCTGCCAAACCATTCAGAACACGTTTCCCCAAGATGAGCCCACTGTTACACCAATCAGTTTTGTACCATGTGGCAAAAGATTGGATCTGCTCAATCCATCTTTCATGTACACACAACTCTTCAAAGAGATCTTGTTAACGATAGAATTCGAAGACAAACACATCGAAGAGTTTGTCAGGCATCATCCTGGACTAATCACTCTCGATGGTACGCATTCTAATGATGTTAAGCAATCAGTACGTGATTACCGTGCAAAGGAGCCCATCTGGTGGTATACAAGAGGTAATTCCTTGCATTCCATGCTCAACGATGCACTACGAATCATGGATGGTGATGTTCTTGTTCGAATGGGATTCTTCGTCACTGATCTTCATCGCAACATAGAACAGTTGCACAAAGAACAGTTTGTTAACACAACTTCGAGTTCTCTTGTGTTTACAGTATATCGCGGACAAGGTCTAGTGGCGGAACCAGCATTTTANCCAGTACGAAACGTGACATCTCGTCTCTCTACGCGGAAAGTAACGCAAACAATCCCAAGTTAGTAGGAATTCTCTTCACAATACAGGTCGATCCTTCTCAGTCAACAACACCGTTTGCCTTAGTTGGGAATCATGGTCTTTTCTTACAAGAAAACGAAGTGCTGTTCTCAATGCACACAGTGTTTCGCATTCATCATATCAAAGTCATTGGCACTGATCGACCACTGTATGAAGTGAATATCTCGCTGACTCTTGATTCTGACGAAGAGTTACGCACACTCACTGATCATATTCGTCGCGAAAGTCCTCTCGATGGTAAAGGTTGGACGCGATTAGGCCAATTGCTGATTCAACTGGGTCAACATGACAAGGCTGAAGCGATTTATGATACTTTACTCAACCAAACATCAGATGGCAGTGATGGAGGATTGATTTATCATCAACTTGGTCGTGTCCGATACGAACAAGGCTTGTTTCAGGAAGCCATAACATTCAATGCCAAATCACTTGTGCTTCTCGAAAAATCATTTAAATCATTTCCCGCAAACCATCCTCATTTAGCCTCATCCTACAACAACATCGGCTCGGTGTATGACAGTATGGGTGATTATCGAAAAGCACTCGAATACTATGAGAAAACTCTTTCGATTCGACATCAGTCACTTCCTGCCAATCATCCTGATTTAGCCACATCGTACAACAACATCGGCTTGGTGTATAAGAATCTGAGTGATTATCGAAAAGCACTCGAATACTATGAGAAAGCTCTTTCAATTAAACAACAATCACTTCCTGCAAACCATCCTCATTTAGCCACATCGTACAACAACATCAGCTCGGTGTATGACAGTATGGGTGATTATCGAAAAGCACTGGAATACTATGAGAAAGCTCTTTCAATTGAACAACAATCACTTCCTGCAAACCATCCTCATTTAGCCACATCATACAACAACATCGGCTTGGTATATGACAGTATGGGTGATTATCGAAAAGCACTCGAATACTATGAGAAAGCTCTTTCAATTGAACAACAATCACTCCCTGCAAACCATCCTCATTTAGCCACATCATACAACAACATCGGCTTGGTGTATGACAGTATCGGTGATTATCGAAAAGCACTCGAATACTATGAGAAAACTCTTTCAATTCAACAACAATCACGTCCTGCAAACCATCCTCATTTAGCCACATCATACAACAACATCGGCTTAGTGTATGACAGTATGGGTGATTATCGAAAAGCACTCGAGTACTATGAGAAAGCTCTTTCGATTCTACAACAATCACTTCCTGCAAACCATCCTCATTTAGCCACATCCTACAACAACATCGGCTTGGTGTATGGCAGTATGGGTGATTATCCAAAAGCACTCGAATACTATGAGAACGCTCTTTCGATTCGACAACAATCACTTCCTGCAAACCATCCTAGTATAGCCACATCCTACAACAACATCGGCTTGGTGTATGTCAGTATGGGTGATTATGCAAAAGCTCACTTCTATTGTGAACGCGCTGTTCAAATTGCTAAGTATTCAATGTCACCAAATCATCCACACCGTTTAACGTTCGAAAGAAATCTGGAATGTGTTACAAATGGACTGCAGCACTCTTCTTTTCGTCCTACAAAATAAAATCATCCCTTATCTTAAAATCACATGTGATCATATAACTTTTCAGAGTAGCATTCTATCGATGTCTTTTCATTAGAATACGCCGAGAAGGTTTCCATGAGAGAAGTAGCGATAAGTTGACATATTGAATGTCTTTAGTTAATGGGCAGTGCTAATATGAGTGATGTTAGGAAGGGTTAATTTTACGGTTGAAGTCGGCAACATTTGACAAATCGTATCCACAGTTAATGTTGAAGCCATAGCGGCCGTTCTATAGAGACGAATTTGTTTAAGTTTTCATAAGTACTCTTGAGATTGAAAGAAATGAGCTCTTGGAAAGGTGAGAGTTCAGACTTCAAGTACTAATTGAAGTAGATGAAGTCTGGCTTTGCCTCTTATGATTGTCAATGACTCAATCCTGAATTGAAAAGGATTTCTTATTACAGACGCGTTTTAATACATCAACTATTGAAAACACGCCTAGACGTGTTAGGACGCGTTTATTTTGTGTTTCAGCGTTACGTAGCTTGTATTGCTCTACTTTTTAAAAAATATTTTAATATTATCGAAAACAACGATCATATTGCTCAATCGAGAGCAGTTATAAAACATTTCTTTGTTCTCTTTTATGAAAGAAAGGACCATAGCGTCAAAGGTATAATCATGAAAGTACATGAAGTTTGTTTGTTTGTTTGCATAATCCAATAAGATTGCAGCGCATTATAAATCAAAGATCGGCCACTGATGACGTAATCCAGCTCGAACATCCCGAATCCTATGTTAATTTTCGGAAATGCTAATTAGTTAATTAGCTAACGATTAGTTCTTGTATTGCCGAATAAGGGTTGATCGAAAGGATCATCTGGATGCAAGATCTCGAATTATTGTTAGATTTTCAATAAAAATATTCTATGCTGTGTTTTTAGACAGAGGACGATTTTTTTGCAAGGAAGGTTTTTTAGGCGATAGTGTGTGAAGCAGCAATATGTAGAACAAAACGGAATAGCTGATTAACTTCGGATTGTTGGATATTCATACACATCAATACATTGATAACATCACAATCATACAAACAGTTATATTACACAAACATTATCTTATGTTAACCACTCAAAA